TGGAGCGTGTCCAGAGAAGGGCAGCGAGGCTGGGGAGGGGTCTGGAGAACAAGTCTGATGAGGAGCGGCTGAGGGAGCTGGGGCTGTTCAGTCTGGAGAAGAGGAGGCTGAGGGGAGACCTCATCGCTCTCTCCAGCTCCCTGACAGGAGGGTGTAGTGAGGTGGGGTTCGTCTCTTCTCCCAAGTAACCAGCGATGGGACGGGAGGCAATGGCCTCAAGTTGTGTCAGGGAAGGTTTAGATTCGATACCATGAAGAAGTTCTTTACTGAAAGCGTGGTCAGGCGTTGGAGCAGGTTGCCCAGGGCAGTGGGGGAGTCCCCATCCCTGGAGGGGTTTAAAAACTGTGTGGATGTGGCACTTCAGGACATGGTTTAGCAGACATGGGGGTGTTGGGTGGATGGTTGGCCTTGATGGTGTCAGAGGTCTTTTCCAACCTTAATGATTCTATGGTTTCTAGGATTGCTGCAGTCTTCAACACTTCTCTACTGGACAGATCCAGTGGTTATGCCAAAAGGAGTATGTAGCTTCTGAAACTAAACTAAAGGTCTCTCTTTTTTCTTTTTTTTTTAAATTTTAGTTTATTTATTACAAATTTCTTTTGAGGTAAAAATATGTTTTGTTCGCAGGCAGTTGCCAGCCATAGAAATGACTAGTTGTCAAAGGCCTTTTGAATCAGCTCCTCAACCGTGTTGTTTCTGGTGAGACTTTTCCACACTGTTAGTTGAATTAGTATGACACACTGTCCCCTGCCTAAGACTAGCATATCTATCTGCAGATGTGTTTTATTTAATATATGCAAGTAGAACTACAGTAATATGAATAATACTCTAAACTGGTATATACATAAAGTGGTGTGTAAGCCATCTAACACGAATTCCTGTCTCTGTGTTACTTCTCTTACTGACGGAAACACGTAATCGTTGTAAATTATTTACATGCTATTTGCATTTGCCAGACCTTAAAGGATTAAATAGCGTGTAACTGTAGGGGAAAAGCCAGTCCAGGTATATATGTGTTTTGCTTTAAAAATAAATTGTGTACTTGGTCAAAATAATCCCTCAGGTTGCTTTGAGCAATCCAGGTTGTTTCTGTATAGCCTCTGCCATGCGTCATTCATGTGACAGCTTGTAGTGGCTGCACCTTGAGAAACAGTTTGTGATGCCAAGCAGGGGTGTTATCCTCAAATATTTCATGTACCTAAATCATGGAAATCGCATGCACGTTGCTGGCAGGGAGTATCTGAAGTTCACAAACCACCACCAGCCTCACTTGATTGTTGCTGACTTAACTAAAGCTGTGCTCTAAAGGAAGTTAGGACTTGGATCAGATGCAAAACCAGTTTTTTATAACTCTTGAATAAGTAATCCCATTTTAAATGATGAACAAGTGTTGCCTGCTAATGGTTACTTCAGTACTTTGCTGCTTTATCTGGTAGAACTGCCTCTATTTATGTGTCCCTGTCTCTGTTTATGTGTCCTTCAGGACTTCACACGTAGCCAAGCTCAAGGTCTTAAACTTCTCGACAGAACATGAAAATCAAGTGTGGGTTCAAGATGCTGTCTTTCTCTGCAGATGAGGCTGCAGGTTAATTAACTGGAACTTTCAGATATTTTCAAAACTGCGTTAGAAGTGTTCTTGTTCAATTTAAGCCTGTGATTACAATTGTATACTAATGTTGTCTGGGATAGAGTTAATTTTCTTCATAGTAGCTGTTAATGGGGCTATGTTTTTGATTTGTGACGAAAGCAGTGCTGGTAGCACAGGGGTGTTTTAGATATTGGTGAGCAGCACTTCCAAAGAGTCAAGGCCTTTTCTGCTCTTCACCCCGCCAGCCAGCAGCCTGGGGGTGCACAAGGCGTTGGGAGGGGGCACAGCAGGGACAGCTGACCCCAGGTTATCCCACAGCGTAGGATGTCGTGCTCGGCAATAAAACTGGAAGGGGGCTGGTGGAGGGGAGGGGGCTGCTGCTCGGGGGCTGGCTGGACGTCAGTCCATTGGTGGGGAGCAATGGTTTTCGTCTGCATCACTTGCCTTTCTTGGGTTTTATTTTCCTCTCTTTGTTGTGTTTTTTTTTTCCCTTACAAAATATTTTTTTAATTTCTTTTTAATTATTAAACTGTTTTTACCTCAACCCATGAGTTTCTTTCTCACTTTTACCCTTCTGATTCTCCCCACCATCCCACTGGGGCCGAGGGGAGAGTGAGTGAGTGGCTGTGTGGTGCTTAGTTGCTGGACGGGTTAAGCCAAGACAAATTGTTATTTAAATTATCTGTTGTTTTCAGCCACAGGGAAAGGCAGAGTAGAATGATCAGAATGTGTAATGCTACTGCATGTATTTTATTGGGTTGTGGTTTTTTTTAATTTCTTTTTTCGTAGACTCTCTTCTGTCCCCACCACCACTGTTCTGGTGATGTGTATTTTATTAGAGTGAGA